CTACAACAGATCAAAAACTGAGAACACTTTCTAACAAAGAAATGACAACTGCAAATACAGTTATCAAAAATATACCGTTTGTCTATATAAAAAACTTCCAGAAACTTATGAAATAATTACATAAACTACCATTTTTTTTTGTTGATTATATAAAAAACTAATGTTTCAAAAACAATATAAACTGTAACAATTAACCTTTGAAAAGCAAAAACAGCAGTAAGCAATAATACACAAAAAATTTGACATTAAAAAATTTCTACCAAGTTTTGATTTCTAATCAATGTTTAATTTGTGCACTTGGATAATTAACAAACAGTAACGTTTACTTTACAATTTTTTTTGCTGCTATTTTTTGCCGTTTTTTATAATTTTTGATAAACATTCATTAATTCATTAAGTTTTTCATTTATTATTACTGATACTCCAGTAAAACTTATTATCAGATAAATACACATTAAGTCTAAGATTATTGTTCGAAGGAATTAGCCGATCAACTAGTAGTTTTTAGACAAAAATAGGAAACTTTTACCAACGAAAGTTCAAGAAAAACTTTAGCAAATTTTTTTCTTTTTTGTCAAAAAAATATATATATAATTTAAAAAATGATATGTTTACAGCTCTCTTTTTTTTACAACTGGTCACGTCGAGTACTTTTTTCTGGTAAAGACTGAGCTTTAACCAACAGTCTACAGGTGGATTGTCGTAAACTCGGTTTCGACGAACGTGGTGCTTCATTTTTCAATTTTTTATACAGTTCATCACGAAATTTTTGACTACTCAAATAGATAACCGGAAAATTGAGTGTTTTACCAAAAATTACCAAAAATGTTGTTAACATCTTTATGTTGTACCATAATAGACCAGAAAATTCTTCCGTAAATATAATCTGTATTGTAAGAACCACAGCTGACGGTACCTAAAATTTTTTCCATACATTAATCCATCTGTTCATCAACAGCTACAAAAAATTTTACATCGAATAGTAAACAAGCAGAAGAAAAATTTAGTGAAATCGCGTGTAACTGTATGAATAAACAACGACTTAATATTTCCTATTTTTTCTTAAAAATCTATCAAATTTCGCTGCAAAAATCGTTTTAAAAAAAAATAGTTAAAAAAGTGAAAAATAAAAAACTGCAGAAAATAGTAAAAACTCTGCACAGCAGTTGTCAAATTACTACCTCCAAAAATCAGTAAAAACAGTCAGCTCAAAACATTGTTCAGTTCATATGCTGACTATGTGAAAGTGATTTAAGTAATCCATTGATAGCAGAAAACAGATTTTGAAATCAAAAACAAAAAAGAATTAAGGAATAAAATAAAATAGGACTAAAATTATGATCAACGAAATGAAATTTCAGTTATTTTCACCAATATTATATTCTTTGTCTTCACCTTTAAATAATTAGAAGAAAGTGTAATAGCATAAAACAAAACCAACGAAAAAGAGTATTACTTTTGTCACAATAAAGCACGTTATTGCAACAATTGCTGTTATTTCCACTTTACGTTCCATTTTATGCCGTAACATCTAAAAAATTTACAACTTATTTTCACTTATTATGGAAGAAAAAATTGGCATTTCTCCTTAACTTTTAAATGCTACATTAACCTACAGATTACAATAGTTTTGAATAATTGGTACCTCTTCATGCTCTGTTTCATGAATGGATTCTTGTGCCATAAACTGCCGCAGTACCATATTTCGTTTTTTAATGCTTTTTATTAAAATAATTTTTGCTCCTGAAATATGAACAGTTTATGAGCAATAGCAATTGAGGAAAGAATCAGATAACTGCAGCTGCAAATGCAAACTGATACAGATGACAACGATGATGGCAGAAAAAAA